AAATAACGCAATATTGTAATGCATTACTTTTAAAAGTAACTTTCCCCAACACTGCTCGTTAGCAGCTGCTCGTATTAATTGTCACGGCTGAGAGAGGAGAGAGAGAGAGAGAGACGCTCATCAGGAACCCTGGACTTCAGGAACCTCCTCAGGGCCGCTCCTTTCCGTCAGTAACGTCTGGTTTTGTGGATTCGAATCAACTCGTGCAGCATATGTGACCTAATTTTTTACCAGCGCGTTTCATTTTTCATAAACTGGGCTGATCTAGAACTATAATTAACAGAAGAGGCTCTGGGGAATCCTTCGGTTAAACCAGAAGTGTACAAGCAAGCTGTCGAACTCTTCCTTATTTGTATACATGTGCTTAGAATTAATAATCAATCTGCTAACAATAATCTGAGGGAAAAATACATGTATATGTAATATTGATTCATTGATCTCACATATTTTGATCATGTGATGTTTATATCAGTACTGTGGTACACTGGTATCAGATACTTTGATAAGTAACTTGGTACTGAATGAATATATGTTCAAAAACATGGTATTTTAATAGTACATGTCCAGAAAAAAACATGGCATTAACATTGGAAATGTAAAAAAATATGATCTTATCACAGAAAAAGTAAAAAAATAAATTAAAAAAATTGTAATAAATTGTGGATGTCCAAAATCATGGTGTTAGCATAGGAAATAAAAAAAAACAAAACATGATATTACCATGGTAAATATTTGAAAAACATGGTATTTCAATTGTATGTGTCCAAAAAACACTGTAGTACTATTTTGCATTTTATTACCATGGGAAATCTACACAAAACATGGTATCAACATGGGAAATCTTCAAAAGAAAAAAAAAACGTGTTACTGTGCGATATGTCCAAAAACATGGTAATACCAGGGTGTATGTTCAAAAAATGTGGTATTACATTATAAATATTTAAAAAAATCGTATTACCATAGGAAATGTAAAAAGAAAAAACATGGTAGTAAATGTTTTAAAATGGCATTTATATGGTGCATGCCCAAAAGACAAAGTTAAAACTGTGATGCATTTTCAAAAACATGCTATTACAATGGTGAATTTAAAATAAAAATGACATTACTATAGGAAATGGTCAAAAAAAGATATGACCATGGTGTGACATGTACAAAAACGTGGTAAGTCCATGGTATATGTTAAAAAAACATGGTGTTTCAATTACATGTATCCACAAAACATGGTGATATGATGGAACATGTAAGAAAGAAATATCTGAGTGTTGGCATGTCATTAGTGCTGCTGATGTGCCTTAGTTTCCCTTCGTTAGGTCACCCAGCTGTACTGCATTACAATTACAGCCAGAATGAATAAATGAAGAGCTGAGACACTAATCAGAGAGAGAGAGAGAGCAGCTGTGTGTGTGTGTGTGTGTGTGTGTGTGTGTGTGTGTG